CCTTAAAAAGTCTCTTACTCGACGACGGAAGCTTCACTCTCGCTACCAGCAACACCAAATCGTTTCCCTTTGAATTCCTTTGAACATTTTATCAACCACCAATCTCTTAGAATCACCTTTAAACATAAACCCACAAGAATAAGTACCCTGATTGAATCAAAGTTAAGGAATTTCACTAAAAAAAACCTCACGCACCGTTCTCTGGAAAGACGACGAACATCTACTCGAACCATCGCCTTCGAGATTCGGTTCTTGATGGACAGCCATGGTTGCTCAATTTGTGAGATTAATCGAACTGTAGGAGATTCGCGAGAGGAGATTCGTGAGATTTTAGCTCGCAAATTGGGATTTTTTTTAGGGTTTTGAACTGTTTGGAACAATGGGAATGGAATTGCTTTGGCGGGGAGATGACTCTGGTTATTCTTGATCATTGTCCGGTTTACGTAACCGGTCTTCTTTAATGATCCGGTTTAGTTTTATATTAATCTCTGTTCTGTTCGGTCTGATTCACTCATTCACATCTCTAATTCTACTACTAACATATACAAAAATTTAGTTATGGCAATGCAGTAAACAATTTGTACAAAAAATATGTCAAAGTCAACTTTTGTTCAAACACAAAAATCTCATATATGTGAAAGTAAACATAAATTATAAGTACACACAAAAACAGTAGAGAAGAAGAAAAGACTTGGAAATTTTATGAAGCTATAGAGATTGACTAGTATGTGTAGTAAACAGTGATATACTTCTAGTAAACGTCTGGAGGCAAATTCCCAGAGAAAGAAGTATGTTGTTGTTGTGACCTTTGAAGATGGAGTTTCAACGCGTAGTTGCTTAGCTGATGAATCATATGCACAAAGGAAAATCAGTTAAAACCGTTGATTTGATTGATCGATCAGCAAGATTCGATGTTTCGTAAGTTAGTTTACCTCTAACTTAAGAACTTGTTCTTGGTATTGTCCAACTACGCCTTTCAAATGTTGTACTTCTTTGGCCTTCTCTTCGTTTTCAGAGCTACGCTGATGTTGATTCGCAACGACCCTTTTCAAGATTTGGTTATCATTGATCGAACTCTGTAGATTCTCCTTTAACGACTCATATTCAAGCTGCAAAGATCTTCTTTGTTATCATCTACGCCAAAAAAATACTTTTTGAGTATTATCAATATTATACCTTCTTTGACGCATCGGAGTTATGCTTTATGTTTCTCTCTAGAGCTTCTAAGATCACTACAACACGTCGCCTCATATCATCGATGTTTATCGCCTTTGACATCTCGGATACAAGTATATCAACCCATTTAGCTCCATCGATTGTATCCTCGTCTCTCCAATTTCCCACAGATCCATCAAAAGAGCCAGCTTCTGTTCTCTCCAAATAGCCATTCAACGAGCGTAAGCTCTCTTTTGCCTCTTCAAAGACATTGTTCTTGTTGCTCATAACCTTTCTCACAAACTAATTCAAATCCCACCAAAAGCAAAGACACATTTAGCAAATCTCAAATTCAATTTCCATAACACACAATAACAATGACTAATGTAGTAATGCATCAAATTTCTGTGCAATAAATACAAAACATATTTGGAAGATTGATGTAAGAAGTTTGATAACCTAAAAAGTTTGAACTTTGAAGCAATATTCATCGGTTAAAAAAGGAAACTGTTTGATGCAATATTTAACGAACCTCAGGATCAATGGTCGGGAACATATGGATCAAGGATGCAACCGGGTCATCGGATCCAGACCCGATTTCAGATGATCGGATCGGCGATCCGAAGCTTGACCATTTAGATCTCTTATTCGTTGGGGAAGATGAAGACCCGAAAAACTCGTCGTACCCGACCCGTTTACCACAAACTCCTGTAGACATCTGTAATACCAAGCAATTATCGTAAAAACCTAAAGGAATTGACTTTCAACAAAAGAGGAAAAACCCCTGAATCTGAAATTCGATCTGTGATAAATTATCTGATAAAAAAACTTTGTTCAAATCGATTAGAGAACTTCTGTGATTTCGAAAAGGGAAATGATTTTTCTAGGGTTTTGTAAACGAGGAAGAGACGAGAGTGAATTATACGTTCCGAGATGCGGTAAGAACATGAATTTGTTTCATTTCAACCATTGTTAAAGCATTGCAGTGAAGAAGAAACGACGAAAGCATTGTAGACAATTTATTATTATTGTATTAAAGTTGAAGAGATAACATCAAAGTGGCTGTAGTTTAGTGGTAAGAATTCCACGTTGTGGCCGTGGAGACCTGGGCTCGAATCCCAGCAGCCACACTCTTTGTTTTTTTGTTATCAAACTCCAATGTAAAAACGACGTCGTTACGATCTTCCGAAAACGGCATCGTTTCAGGTCAACTTTCTTCTTAACTAAAG